TTGAGCTACGAGGTATTCCTATACGGCATAACATTTAATGCACAAGAAGAAGAAGCGGATGAGCTGAGAGCACGGGACAGCAATTGTGTGAGCAAGAAGCAATTCAGTCTCTCAGGCGAGCCGGCAGGACTCGGGCTCTCGGCGGGTTACGGCGGGGTTCAGTCGTATCTTGTGCCAGCGGCGACTGGACCTGCTGCGTTGCCGTAGTTGCAGCTACTGGTGTTTGCGCAGGCGGAGGTGTTGGAGTAGCAGCGGCTTGGACACTGGGTGGTGTCGGAACACTAGCTGGCGAATGAGCAGTCGGAAAGCACAAACTGTGATCCGGTTCTGCCACGGACGGCAAAGGCGCTGTGTTCATCGGTACGGATGATTGCGGAGCGGAGTCGGCTGACCGGAGCTGTTCAACATGGCGCCTCCATTGCTGGTCTGGGCCAACTTCCACTGTATAGTGGCGGGAGCCGTGTACCGCTTGCACTGTGCCCGGAATCCACGGGTGTGGTGCGTTGGTGCGGTAGTCACGTACCATGACGGTGTCATCCACAGCAAACGTGCGCTCACGGTTCGCTGATCTTGCACTACGCTGAGCTGTCTGTTTCTTAGCAACAGATGCCTGGACACTGGGTTGAACCAGCGACAGCCGCGTGCGTAGCTCCCGGTGCATTAGCAGGGATGCTGGTGTGGCATTCGTTGTAGCATGGGGTGTGGTGCGATAGGCCAACAGGAAGCGAGGCAAGAACTCAAGCGGTGCTGTGGCAGAATGGGACCTGAGTGCCTGCTTCATTGTACGCACAAATCGTTCAGCCAACCCGTTAGTCGCTGGGTGGTACGGTGCTGAGAACGTGTGCGTTATGCCGTTGGCTTCTGTGAAACGGCGGAACTCATCGGCAGTAAACTGCGGGCCGTTGTCACTCACGATCTGGTCCGGCAGGCCATGTTGAGCAAACACTTCTCGGAGACGGCGTATGGTAGCCGGGGCAGTGGTACTGCTCATTGGTAGCACTTCTGGCCACTTACTGTGGGCGTCCACCACAATCAGCCACATGTGCCCTTGGAACGGCCCGGCAAAATCAATGTGGAGACGCTGCCATGGCTTGGACGGCCACTCCCAGGGATGTAGCGGTGACTTCGGTGGCGCCGCCTGGTGTGCCTGACAGCCAAGGCAGGCCTTGCCGGTCTGCTCGATGTCTGTGTCGATGCCTGGCCACCATACAAAGCTGCGGGCTAGTGCTTTCATCCGAACCAGCCCAGGATGGCCACTGTGCAGCTCCTCCAGTACTCGGTGGCGCAGTGGGGAAGGAATGACGACACGGATTCCCCACATGACACACCCTTGGTGTAGGCCCAGCTCATCTTTGCGTCGTACAAACGGTTGCATGTCACCGTCGGTTGTTGACAGGGCCCGTCCGGTGCTGACACTGGTTAGGACCTTGGCGAGAACTGGGTCACGGTTTGTGTGACGCGCAATTTCAGCTGCCGTGACTGGAAGCGGGTCGATCTGGGCCATGTTGAACACGTCTGCCCAGTCTAGGCTCTCATCCTGTGGTGAGTGTGGCAACGGTAGGCGTGACAGCCCGTCAGCGTTTGCATGATCGGCTGATTTGCGGTACTTGATCTCATAATTCATGCTTGCTAGGAAGATAGCATACCGCTGTAGGCGGGCCGTCGTCATGGCTGGCAATCCCTTGCTAGGACTGAAGATGGCTGTCAGCGGCTCATGGTCCGTCAGCAGGACGAACGGTCGGCCAAACAGGTACGTGTGGAATTTGCGGACGCCCCAGACAATAGAGAGCGCCTCCTTATCGATCTGGGCGTACCGCTTCTCGGTGTCCGTCAGGGACCGTGACACGAAGGCAATCGGCCTTTCCGTACCATCCGGCATGATGTGCGAGAGCACCGCCCCCAGGCCATATGGCGATGCGTCGGTTGCCAACTGCACGGGTAGGTCGGCATCAAAGTGCATGAGGACCTGATCCGAGGCGATGGCTGCCTTGATAGCCTTGAATGCAGCCGCGCATTCAGCTGTCCAGCGCCAGGACTGACCCTTCCGGAGCAGGTTGTTGAGTGGATGCAGGGTCGTGGAGCAGTCTTTGAGGAAGCGCTGGTAGTAGCACACCATGCCCAAGAAGCTCCGTAGCTGGGACACGTTCTGCGGTGCTGGGGCTTCGTTGATAGCCTTGACCTTGCCATCAGTCTTGCGCAAGCCGTGGCGACTGACAATGTGTCCACAGTACTCGACTTGGTCTGCAAAGAACGTGCACTTGGCCGGGTTGACTCTCAGGCCGTGGTCCGACAGACGACTCAGGATGCTTTCCACATTGTCAAGGTGGTCATCGTCGTTGCGGCCGGTGACAATAATGTCGTCCAGTAGGCAGGCCTGGCTTGGGACGCCGTGCAAGATGCGGTCGATAGCCTGTTGCCAGAGCGCTGGGGCAGAGGCAACACCGAACCCGAGTCGGTTGAGCTGATACAGGCCCTTGTGCGTCGTGAGTGTGAGGAGTGGTTTGGATGCGTCATCCATCTCCATTTGGAGGTATGCCTGCTTTAGGTCGATTTTGGTGAATCGCTGGCCTCCAGCCAGGGTGGCGAAGACATCTTCCACGCGTGGTAGCGGGTGCTGGTCCACCTTCAGGTGTGGATTCAATGTGGCTTTGAAATCTCCACAGAGACGAACTGAGCCGTTGGGCTTCATCACAGGCACAATAGGTGTCGCCCACTCACTCCACTGTACCTTACTCACGATACCCAGACCTTCCAGCCTGTCCAGTTCAGCTTCCACCTTTGGCCGCATGGCGTAGGGCAATGGGCGCGCCTTGAGGAAGCGAGGGCTTGCATCGTCCTTCAGCTGGAGACGAGCCTTGGCGTCCTTGAGCTTGCCAAAGTCGTCGCTGAACACATCGGAGAATTTCTCCTTGAGCTGCTCAAGACGCGTACCTGCTGATCCTGGATGCTGCTGGCCAGGGGACACGGTTGCGGAGGGGACGTCAGCCATCTCGACCTGGAACAAGCGCTGCCAGTCGAGAGCGATGTGGGCAAGCAGGTCCCGGCCACAGAGCGCTGGCCCCTGCGTGTCCACCACATGCAGTGGTAGCTCCGCGGATTGATGGTAGTATTCCACGCGTGCTACGAACGTTCCGCGAGGATGCACGGGCTCGCCGGTGTACGTACGCAACTTCAGCTTGCTCGCGGTGAGAGGCGAGGCAGACAGCGACTTTCGATAAATCGCACTCGGAATGATTGACACCGCAGCTCCAGTGTCGACCTGCATGCGGACCGACTGGCCATTGACGATAGCATCAATCCAAAGTGCCTTCCGCGCGGTCGTGGGTGTCGTTTCATCCGTGGCGACTGCTGGCGCTTGAAGGACGTCTGCGGCTAGAAGAGAAAGTGAATTGAACTCGTCGTCGTCCGCGACATCGACAGCCAAGCTGTGGCAGGCGCTGCTACCACTTGAGCGTTTCGCTGAATCTGTCGATCTTTCCGCGAGGCGCTTCTTGCAAACCTTGCGGAGGTGCCCAGTCTTCCTGCAGTGGCGGCATTCATATGCCTTGAAGGGACATTCACTTGCGCCGTGTGCCGTCGAGCCACAGCGGAAGCATGCTGAATAGCTCGTACGGGATTGACCTGAGTTCGCGGACTTCGCACCTCCGAACGATGGTCTGCCAGCACGACGATGTTGCGATGTGCCCAGAACGTGTACACCAGCAGCAGTGGCACTGCCCGCGAGCTCGGATGCATCGCGAGTAGCTACCTCCAGGCTGTTGGCTTTCTCGATGGCGGTCTTCAGAGTGAGGTCCTTCTCTGCCAACAGAACTTTGCAGAGAGCTTGACTCCTGATACCACACACGAACCGATCCCGCAGCGTGGTATCCAGGACATCGCCAAACTCACAGAATCGTGCCAACCGTCGGAGCTCCGCGAGGTAGGCATTTACTGACTCTCCTTGGCGTTGATCCCGCTTGTGGAAACGGTATCGTTCCGCGATCACCAAGGGCTTCGGAGCACAATGCGCAGCCAGCGCGTCGGACAGCTCCTTCAGCGTCTTGTCCTTCGGTTTGTCCGGGCTGACCAGGTCAGCCAACAGTTTGTAGGTCAAGCCACCAATCAGGGTCAGGAAGGTGGCTACTTGCCTGTCTTCGGCCACATTGTTGGCAGCGAAGTACTGCTCGACGCGGTCATAGTACGTAGACCAATCCGTCGTTCCAACCGAAAATGGTTCCATGGCTCCAATTGCAACGGCCATCTTCGTCGCCAGTTGGTTGTGTCTCTAACCAAGAGACTGTGGGTTCACACGTAGAGTTTACATACAAGTTTATTCTACGGTTGCAAAGCAATAAGAAGCGTTGAGGTATGATTGTGCTAGAGGATATAGGAGTTGTATCCCGGGTGCGGGATGCGTTGGGTGTTGGGTGGCAGTACAATGAATTGCTATAGAGAGTTCATGCCTAAGCGGTTGTGGTTTTAGGGTGGATCAATAGTACTTGCAATTAGATGAATACATGTCTGGTACATACACTACACTACGGGAATAAAATAAAGTAAATAACCCGAAATGCTCTGTCTTTGCCCGTGCTAATTGCTCCCCTAATACCGAAATATCCTTTCTTCACGCCACACTTCCTCTGGTCAGCCCTGCCAACCGGCCTTCAAACGTGTTCAACTATCAAGGAATTCAAGCACCATCTTTTTCGCCACACGTAATTCATCACTCCAGTATTGCTTCCTCTTGCAGTGCTCTCTTCTCTCTTTATTATTTAGTTTGTCGTTGTTGGCTACTGCCCGACTTCCCATGATTATTGGCAGACTTACGAGCCAGGAAAAGCTGACAGAAGAAATAAAGAATGAATAGCTGATAAAGTGATCAGTGGTAGGAGTGGCAGCCGTGTGTTAAACAAGAGTAAAACAGGAAGCCTGTGCAACGTATTCACCGGACAGAAAGCGACAGAGGAGCAGAGAGCAGACATGATGAGTTTCTACAGCAGAGAAAAGAACCATACATGTACCTGGCATATGCTGAAAGCCACATTCTTCCACTCTCCAGTGCCCCTCCTCGAACTGGACAGCATTGGCTCCGAATAATATTCTCGAAAGTCACAAGTGACAACCACCTGTAAAGAAGAAACAGAAAGACAACAAACTTGTACAAGTACTGGTAACATCAGTGCTCATACGATATCTAGCAATTCCCAAGATACATGGGACAGCATCAGTTGATGTTGGTGAGCAGCTCATCGAGACATCCCGAGGACTGACTGATGATGGACACATGGCACACAAAGAAATTAAGTCTCCTGTCACGAAGATATGCGAAGATCGCTATGCAGACATTAAAACCACAAAATTTGTCAACAATGGTACAGCTGTCCTCAGTGATGGCACGTTTGAAATATTTTATTCTCACGATGGCCTGTGGCCAATACACGTTGTTGTTGTTGTTGCTGTTGTTGTTGCTGCTGTTGTTGTTGTTGTGGTTGTTATTGTTGTTGTTGTTGATCCTGCTGCTGCAATCCGTAGTGGTGTAAAGATATGGGACCAATTAAAAAATCTCTGGAGGAGGGCAACCCCCCCCCCCCCCTTCATGGCTGCACCAAGGCAATGGGATTTTGATATGCATTGCCATGCGTGCAGAGCTACGTTAGAAAATACAGCAATTATTATTTCCGTAAATACATGTAGCACGAGAAAATGCAAGTGCATAACGTATTATCTCTAATATAAGCACAGTCTCCAATAATAGCACGTCTCCAATAATAGAACACCTTGGGGCGGCATTCAAAAAATAAAGTGCTCAGTCTCCATTATAAGCACACTGTGTAAATTCATTATCTGTACTGGCGAAAAAACCCTGAAATGTGTGTGTCTGACATGAATTCGGCATGGCAACAAGCCTCTGAAATGAGGTTGAAATAATAATGGAACAGTCTCCAATAAAGGAACGTCTCCAATAATAGCACGGGGCGGAGGTACATTGAAAAAATAAAGGACCGTGCTTATATTAGAGATAATACGGTACAATCGAATACACAGTAACACTCATCTGTGCTGAACACTCACACATACATGTACATGTATGTACATGGTATTATGGTCTCTGCACTGCAACAAAATAAACTGGTTCACCCTGATGATGGGCGAGGCCTGAAAATTTGGTGAATAAGAACCCAAAGTGACTTCTGCAGCACAGAGACCATGCAAGAGTGTTTGGACTGAGTGTAGTGATAATGGAAATGGTGCAATGGAGTTTGCGAAACCTATAATGTATCCTATCATAATCTTACCAAAGAATAACATAACTCGGAATGAGGGGGACGGTCAAGCTTTGATGATGGACACGTCCGGGATCCGGGGCTTGATGAGAATCCAATACAGCGGTAGTACATATTCAGTAGTTGATTATGGCCGTTGGTAGTAGGTTCATGGTGCATTGTACAGTGATTATGTGAGCAGTAATTACTCACTCCATCAAGAAACCTTTCCACTCGCCTGGTCATGGTGGGAAGTCCGATGGCAAGAATACCAAGCGCATCCTCACTCACATCGTCAAAGTTTGAGATTGATTTCTTATACTCTTGCCTTTTTGAGTCTGCAAACATTTGGTACATGGTATCGCTGCTCGTTTTCATCCATTTGCACTCAAAATAATTACAAGCCGAAAGTCAAAAAACCCCATTGACAGTTTTTGAATCAACCGCGATCATACAGCTTGCAACACGTGTGATTGCGGGGATTTCCCTGGCAGGCAATGATTTTACATGGGATGAAAAAGAAAAAAATGGAATAGAGAATGACAACGACGTTTGAACGTTTGGCAGCAAGTATAAGTAGATTGACATGATTGTCTTGTTGAAATATAATTCTGGACTGCGTTCCCTTTAGCTGCTTGCCCGGGATTGTTGAAAAAGCTAGAGAATGGCTGAAGTTAAAAGCGCTCCACCTCCGAGTAAGGGGAGGAGAGTTTCTCATGGAGCTGGTGGAAGGAGACGTTTTACTTCCGAAGGTAGAGAAAGAACACCCAAGAAAAGACATCGTAGGGCTACGTCAAGTGTGGCTGCCTTTCATGTCTTCTATGGTGGCGACATTTCAGATCCCTTGAACCTTAATTCAGCTCACGTGGATGCTGATGATAGTCAGAGTGGAGATGATGAACCAGAGGAATATGTACGCAAGCCAGTCGAGGACACTCCGCAAACATCTGAACAGCCTAGGCATGTGGAAGATCCTCTCCGATTACTCTCGGATGACAAAAAGGAAGCACGGCGGGAACGAAAGAAACACCAGCGTAAAGTTGCTGCTATGAAGCGTGAAGAGAAGCGCAAGCAATCCACAGGGGATGAACAGAAGGATGATACTGGTGGACGCCGCCGAAAGCGATCTTTCTCCAACGATGGCGAGTCAACTGATGATGGTGGAAGAGTTGTGCGAAAAAAGAAGAAGAAAAAGAAGGCAAGTACAGGCCCTGATTCGCACATGGTGGATCCAAACGGCCTCACGTTCAGACCGCAGGACGCCAAATTTGCAATGGGAAATTACAACAGATATTATGGCTATCGAAATCCGACAGGACAATCGGACGAACGCCTCAAGAGCTTCCCGAAAGCTATATTCTGTGATAAAGCCTGCCTGGACATTGGCTGTAACACCGGTCATGTCACGCTTTCTATTGCCAGAGACTTGAACCCGGCAAGTATCATCGGTGTTGACGTCGACCGCACCCTGGTGGAAACTGCTGAGAAGAATGTACGGCACTACATTGTAGCAACAGAATCGGAGAAGGATATGCCAGTACCTGCAAAGCGTGACTTTCCACTGTCTTTCAAGTTGTCGTATGGGCCCC